GGTTTCAATTTTGGTGTATTCAGTGGCCAGTGCATGGTTTAGGCACGGCTCAGGACAACTCGGGACTGCAAGTTTCGGCCACCTACGCTACTGGACTACCCGTGCCTCAGCAACATGCTGAATAACTCAAATCGACGATTAGCGTTGAATACAGAGTAGTGAGTGACATTGAAAGTCGCTTGAACGGTCTTCCAGTCAGCGTAAGGTGGGAGGAAGGCCGTTATTTATTTTAATGATACACACGTCGACATTAGATTGCACGGAGCAAGGAGGAGGGGATCAGAATAGAATTTAATATTGAGACATTTCAAAACAATGTGTTCAGCTTTGCCTCTCAGAATATTTAGCTAACCTGAACTGGGTGAGTGAGTTTAATTTGACGCTGCACTCAGCAATTTCCCAGCTATATGGCAGCGATCTGTGATTATATAATCGAGTCTGGACCAGACAATTCAGTGATCAACAACATGAACATTGATCTACGCAACTGGGATGCGCTGACATGTGTCAAACGAGTCAGCGAGCCTGACCACCCGAACCCGTTAGTCGTCTGTATCATAACACTGTGTCATGTGGCAAGTGAACAAAATGTAGTTTGTTGCTTCGAAGTGGTTGCTGAGAGAATGATTGAGGATGCCGGAAATGAAAACAAAGTGATGTTCCTGCCTTATGTTAATTAATCGACTTAGATATAGTTCCTTTTATATTGGACTCACAGTCACAGAAAGTCACAATATCAGTGAAGGTAAAGAATCCACACCGAAACGTCGCACTGAGCAGTAGACAGAATGTTGTCAGCTTCAGTATTTACAGATATTGATGGGGCGTTTCAATCACTATCCAGTGCGCTTCATTCACTATCTGCTGACGATAGAACACCTATTTCGTGAACACAAGATACCAAACCCTTTCAATTGGACTGACTGACTGACTGAGTTTAGTTTTACGCCGCTTTTAGCAATATTCCAGCAATATCACGGCGGGGGACACCAGAAATGGGCCTTTCAATTAGAAAGGACGAAGTATGGCAAGGGCCTTTGTGGGCATCCTACTACCCAGATAGCATTCAGACGTTGGTCCAATGTTGGCACTTGTTTTGCCAACATTACCAACGTTGGGCCAACGTCCGAATGCTATCTGGGTGTATATAGTATATATAGGTGCGGCCAAACATGTCCACATCCATACGCAATTAATGCTAAAAGCAGAGTCCAGTGCTAAAAGTACCTGTCCAACTACGTCAGTGGAATGTGTTTATGAACCGCACTCAAACAGTGGTAACAGCAGGTGTTCGCGAAGGTGTTGTGGGACAACGGTAAACATCAGGAATAATATGAAAATAGTAATTGTGATCTAATCATATGTTCGAATGCTAGAAAACAAGCCTTTGTTCTTTCTTTCACTTGCAAGGTCGTATTGTTTTTCTTCTGGCATGTTGTAGAAAGTATCCAACCACGTGGAGGTCAGTGTTCCCAAAATATGCTTGTACTGTGTTTTCCCCTTACGTCTCCTCCGAAAATTTAGCTTGCACCTGTTAATGTGTTTCCTGAAACCTGTAAAATCAGCATTTTGAACACATTTTAACTGTATGTATACATTTACAGCTGTAGGGCATAGACGTCTGTTTCCATTTTTATGTTCATACATCTAGTGGGTTTGCCTCGTTCTTCGATTTTGAAGATTCTGTGATCGAAAAAAGACCCTTCTCAGATTCTACTAACTGGAAACAACACTCGGGGGTTATGGAAAGGGGCGAGTAGTGGAATGGGTACTCAGGTGTCCAACTGTCGTCGGTAAAGCGCCTTTGAGCAGCTGAGCTGGATATTGGCGCTGTACAAATATTAGTATGTACAGTGGAAGCCCTCTAAACCGGTATAGATGGCGTGCCGGTTTAGAGAACTTTTCAACCTGAGAATGATCTTCCGTGTGCCGTAAAATACGACTGAACAACGTGTTGAAAGTCATCATATTGTTTATTCATCAATAAAGACAACATCAGAAAAATACAACACAAATGTACGTGTAGAGTGCACCTTCCATTACGTTATAATGAGGTGAAAAAGTCTGTAAGTTTCTGTTTCTTTGAGCAGCTGAATTTTCATCTGTATGTATGTATGTATGTATGTATGTATGTATGTATGTATGTATGTATGTATGTATGTATGTATGTATGTATGTATGTATGTATGTATGTATGTATGTATGTCTGTATGTCTACACTGGGGTAATTACTTGACCCCGCTTCACCACATATCGACAAACAATTTCAGGAGATAACTTTTACCATCAAAAGTTAAATATGTATATTATTTTGTAGTTGATTGAAAATGACATATAATGATGAATGTGAAACAGATGGAGAGCAGCGCTCCTGGCGTGATTAGCGTCAGTACTGTATTCAATGTCGTGTTAAGTATTGTCACATCCGAGTGCAAACACGAAACACCTTCACACAAAACATGATAGGATGTCCCCAAGTGTGAAGATATGTGTTCATATTATATCATTATGTATGTATGTATGTATGTATGTATGTATGTATGTATGTATGTATGTATGTATGTATGTATGTATGTATGTATGTATGTATGTATGTATGTATGTATGTATGTATGTATGTATGTATGTATGTATGTATGTATGTATGTATGTATGTATGTATGTGTGAAATCTGTACGATTTATCGTAGCAAGTGAGGGTCTGTGAGTGAGAGTATGGTTTTACCATACTCGCAATATTACAGCAATATTAACAGATTCACAAATTGTATCCATTTGCGGAATTGAACCCGGATCTTAGTCGTGACTCGCGAACGCTTAACCACAAAGCTACCTCACTGCCACTCGATTAATACGAGTGTGTGGTAAAGTTCTGGTGAATACATTCGCAAGACGGGGTCGAGATCCCCACATATTTAGTGTGTCAAGGACATTTCTTGTGGATACAGATGCAGTAGCTTGTATAACGCCGCGCTCTACGAGGTCTTAGCTAATTCGCCTAGCATAGGTTGCTGTAGTAGTAGTAGTAGTAGTAGTAGTAGTAGTAGTAGTAGTAGTAGAAGTAAGTTGTTGTTGTAGTAGTTAGTGGTAGTAGTAGTCGTGGTGGTGGTTAAATTGAACTTAAATATGTTTTTGTGCATATTGTTTCCATTATAGTGAGATTATTCATGAAATACATTACAAGTACATTGCACAGTTTTGTTCTATTTCTGCGACTATCAGTGTGTGAATTCACATGATCTCCTGATAAGACTGTTGCGAATGTACAGGTGGTAATGTGTTTTTCCGCATGTTCTGACAGTTACACTTTCCACACTTTCCACCAGCCTCTTGATATGTACCAAGACAAGGCAACACATGTCATGTCACGTAGGGTGACTGAGCGGGTTTGTAATCGAATGTTGTATAAAACCGCAGCACGTACTGTTCTAGCTATGTCAGAGGATAAGGTGTGCCAAAATGTTAATGATAGTCATACTTTGAATTTAATATTCAACTCAAGCATGTCTATCACAGTCAATACATGTTCAGAAGAGCCGACATTAAAGGTATTCACTACGCGCTTTCTGTGATACTTGAATATGAATAGGACTTGGATCCAAGTTTAAAGAAGATGTGTATGCCCAGCATTTACAACCATAATTCTGAGAAAGAAGTTCATTGCTAGCCATTTTGTGTATCTAATAAATTAATTTTAATACCAGTATTTCAAAGTATTTCATATCTTTAACATTTAACAATTCAAGTGAGAACAAGATACATATCCCAACTCGTCCTTTACATAATATGTAAAAGTCGATTATACAATCAATATCTTCTTTATGGTAAGGATTTTGAGTCATTATGTTTATTTGTCATAATTACCTGCATGTATATTTCGTTTCTTGCAGGTGTGTGGGGCGGTGGGGTAGCCTAGTGGTTAAGAAGACCCAGGTTCGATTCCCCACATGGGTACAATGTGTGAAGCCCATTTCTGGTGTCCCCCGCCGTGATATTGCTAGAATATTGCTAAAAGCGGCGTAAAACTAAACTCACTCACTCATTCTTGCAGGTGTATGAAGGAAGAGAGTCGTTCAATGTGACCGCCAGTTCTCCGTTACTGACATCAAGTGTTGAGGTCACTGTTTTCATAGATGACAACGAGGGTAGGTAACTCTTACGACAACGAGGGTGGGTAACTCTTACAGTTTAATAACAGTAAAGCCGTCGTACAGACACATAATCTGTCAGTAGCTAGATGCTAGGTGATGACGTATCAGAAATCTTTAAAGTGACTTTGCTGAGCCAATCCTGTAATGATATTGTGTGAAATTAATGAAATGGAACGATTACATGGCAGATATATCTGTATCATACGAAGACTGGTGATAACCTTGGTGGGACTTACGACTAGTTCATCTGTGTCAGCGTTACTGAAATTATGACAAAAAGGGAACCATGGGTGGTTGCGGTACAAATACTATGTTAATTAGGCGCAGGAAACGCATATGATCGTGAGTTCAAATCCGTCCTTATTACTCTTGTAATGGTTTGTCAGTACCAAATGCGAGTTCATGGGTTTCACTAAAATGGTAAGATTTGAATGACGTACAGCTGAAAGCGTACAGCCACATCACTCACCCTCTTAGAACAGCAAACACACAGTACCAATGTATGTCTCTCTAAGAATTACGTTTATTGGTTGGTAAACCTCTCAGTATTCTCCAGCTCTGGTTTAGCAAAATTCCAAAGATACATTACCTACAGACGAGAGAATCTGCTTCACGAACAAACGCCTGGAGACTACAGACAGGACTCCCCGAAGGCTGATCCTCTGCCTCGTTACTTAGTTACATGCAAACGGTGAACAACAAGCTGAATTTTTAAGATGGTAAAGTAGAATTTCAGTTTGATGAAAGCGACAATTATTTACCACAGCTAATCTGGTAAAATAAAATATCGGCTTATACATTCTGAAGAATATATCCTGTACCGTTATGTTTTACTTCCAAAGTCGACACTGTAACGCTGACCTCGTTCCCGGCATCGTATGAGTCGACCAGTCTAGAGGTGACGTTGCAACGGACACTAGCTGTTGATGAACTGACAGTCCAGGTGACCACGACGGATGTGACGACAGCAGCTGATGACTTCACACACCTGTCCGATAGTTCTGTCACTTTCCCCAGCGGTTCACTCACTGCCACGTTAACCATTGATATCACAGATGATGACGTAAGTACGACATGCTTGTATCTGGTTCGAACCTGTATGCTACCTTAGCATTGAAAAATGCTTAATTGTATTTGCTTTATTCTGGTTTGTTTTTTCCTCTTGATAACTCTTCTAATTGATTTTTTGACCTATACACCTTGGCTGAAATCATTGATCAATCTACAGTCTACGCATAGATGCATATACCGATGGCTGTTAGAATGTTGTAAACGTGCAATAACAGAACAACAGTTTTCAACCAGGATGAACTTTATTTCAGAACAAATACCATTAGTTAAACACAAACTAACCACTAACTAACTCTATAGTGATTCTGTACACCGCCTCTGGGACAAATAACAAGTTTATTTTAATTTTGTACACCGCCTCTGTGAAAATAACAATTTTATATTAAATATGTACACCGCCTCTGTGAAAATAACAATTCTATATTAAATCTGTACACCGCCTCAGTGAAAAATAACAATTGTATATTAAATCTGTACACCGCCTCTGTGAAAAATAGCAATTTTATATTAAATCTGTACACCACCTCTGTGACAAATAACAACTCCATATTATATATGTACAACGCCTTTGTGATGAACTACAAACAACTACTACTATTTTACATCCCTTAATTACGTTCCAGGAAATTGAAGGTGATGAGGTCTTCACACTGAGTATTGCTGGGGCAAACTTCTCCTCCATTAATGCCACGATAGTAGACAATGAGGGTAAGTCTGTATGCGAAGTATCAATGTAGTGATAGACCCATTTACAGATAAACGTTTATTATTTGCAAGAATAACACTATGAAATCTATATCTCACCACTTTTCTGTACGATATATCTATCTATTTATTCGGCAATGTAAACATCGTCCTTTGAGGAATATTACTCTTCATCTAAATGGGAGGTTCTTTTTGTACTACACGACATTTTGCCCTTGGAATAAACTTTAATACATGATGTGTTTTGGATTCCGATCTTTCCTAACAGACCATCTGAATGTGGTGTTTTTGTTTTGTGTGTTCTTACATAAAGAAAGGTTGAACATGATTTCAGTTTGTTTTGGAGTGATAACGGAATTGCTTTGGGGATTTGAGCAGTTGGGATAAAGTTCTTTTATGTCGCAGTGACATGTATCACAGCAAACTTTAAATCGTCAAAGTTGGTCAGACTAGTGGTTGATATCATGAGCACACAAACAGATAAACCACGCATGATAACCGCCCGATCATCTTCATTCAGTAACGAAACTGTTTCTATTGCTTTGGTTGGGTCTTTTGTAGGTAACTTCATCGAGAAGGGTCTCTTAATGGATATTATGTCTGAATTACAGGAAGTAGGCCTTTTGACTGCCGCCGGAAGGGTAGCGGGTGCTCAGCTTCAGAAGACGTGTGTCGCCCAACATTGCCACTGTGTGAATGTGTTGGTGATCCCCCAAGGGAGGGCGACATGTGCAACATTGTAACAGGTACAACGTGATCTGGAGACTATAGGGGATAGACGGTGCACTCACCACATACCGAAAAAACCTGCTGCATGGACTTTTAATTTCATGTAATCCATGTAAAACATTGAGTGTTTAAGTTTCAACATCAGTCAATGAACTGTCATATCACAGGATATTCTGGTCCATCACTCGATTGTCTGGTTTCTCCACGAGCACCAGCGTCGCATAGCGGTACTGATGTGCGGCGTCACGCGCACCTTTCTATGCGCATGGCGTTAGTGGTGTGTGCTATCTGCACGAACACCTGGTGTCATTACCAGTCATATATTTTTCATCCCCGTTTAGCGTTTTATGCCGAATTTAATCAGTTTTGTCGGATAGTTGATATTTTCTGGCATTGAAGATTTATAGTTGATGAATACAAGTTTTCATCATTGTTGTTAGTATAATGATTTATCAGAAGGTATTGAACGGTTTTAGTTAGCAACACTCTAGACGCGTATTAACACATTATATTTTACTATTGACCGTATGTAATGTATGACTCTAGACCGGAAGGCCGACAGTGCCTGCCGCCAGAACAACTGCAGCGACCATGGAGAATGTCAGGAAGACCCCGTGGCTCCTTCATGTGCGTGTTTTCCTGGTTACTATGGAGTCAACTGTCAACACAACATCTGTGAGTACAGATTCATATGTCACTAGTAACATGCTTTATTTTATCCCGTGAAGATCAGGGTTAGAATTGGTCTTCACTCTTCAGTAACCCATGCTTGTTACCACTAATGGGATCGGGTGGTCAGGCTCACTGACTTGGTCATTGTATTCCAATTGCGTAGATAGATGCTCATGATATGTTGATCACTGGATTGTCTGGTACAGACTCGATTATTTACAGAGTAGCTGGAATATTGTTGTGTCCGGCGTTTAACAAACAAACAAACAAACCAAACCAACATGCTTTATTTAACTGAGCGGCAAAAGATAGTATACCGTGTTATTGTATCTAAATAGATGATGTCTATTCAACTATCACTCACTCCTGAAAGTCTGTAAAAATAATCTTCGGCTTGCTGATGGTGTTTTAAAACACATTTGTTCAGTGGAAAAGGGTAAAAACGAAATTTGAACCACATGACCCCTTCCATTGATACAATGTTGTAAATTTGTGTCGAAAACAGCACATACGTTAATTCTTAGAGATGAGATATCAAAGATACCCCTCAACAATTGTATATTTAGCTAGTACCTTAAAACGTTTTTAAACACGTTATATCTATCTATCTATCTACCTATGTGTGTGTGTGTGTGTGTGTGTGTGTGTGTATATATATGTATGTATGTATGTATGTATGTATGTATATATATATATATATATTTATATATGTTACATAGATAAATAAAAAAACAGAATGCCTCCCTGAAGAGTAAAGAACGAAACATGTTGGAGAAAAAGGCATTCTGTTTTTATTTATCTATGTAATATTTGTGACTGAACACCTGTACTATTTTGGACATTTTGTGCGTATATATATAATAATTTTGTATTTCTGTGTTTCGGTAACATGTGATATCTGAAGTAGATATTGCTTTGTTATGCTGATATATTTTTTAACCAGTTAAAGCTGAATGTACCAAGGACTACATGGTGTTCTATGCAAACCCACACGGAGACTTTGAAGGGGCAATATATGTCACAGATAAGAGGGAACAAAGTGATTGCGCGGCAGCCAGCATACCTGATCCGCCAGATACAGGAGACGACATCGACGATGATTTGAAAGGTTTCTTTGTCAATGTTACCCATGCCAGTGCTGCATGTGGAGCGATCACACCACAGGAAGAGGTAACACGTTGTTCATATCACATTGAGTGACTGAGTGATTGAGTGAGTGATTGATTGAGTGTGTTAAGTTCAAGAATATTATAGTTATATCACGACGCAACATCTTGATGTGAAACACCCAAACAAATGGAAAGCGTCGGGATCTGAACCTACAATCATAGGTTTCTGGCTTGCCCAAGGGACGCAACTGTGTACAGCGAATTGCGGCGTGCTAAGACACCTGGGCCCAAGGCCCTTATTCTCGAACCGTTCGTAGCCCTAAGAATTCTTAACTTTGATCGTAGCCAATGTGTTAAGAATGGGCTTAAGAAGTTCGTAGGGTTACGAACGTTTCGAGAATAGCTAGCCTGCGCCACATGAGTGAGTTTAGTTGTAGGCCGCACACGGCAATATTCCAGCTATATGGCGGCGGTCTGTAAATCATCGAGTCTGGACCAGACAACCCAGTGATCAAAAGCATGAGCACTGATCGACGCAACTGACATGTCCACCAAGTCAGTGAGTCTGACCACCCGATCCCGTTAGTCGTCTCTTATGACAAGCATGGGTTTCTGAAGATCAATTCTAACCCGGATCTTCACGAGTTGAGCCACATGAAATTGAACTGCAAGGACTGTGCAAGTGTATCATTTCTATGCTGGATGATGGGTTGGCTAGTAGTTAAATTGTCTATTGCTGGAACACTGATAACAGCAGTGCCAATGCAGTCACAATCACTGATGCATGACCTCCACTCAAAGCAAATGCGTTTCTCTAAATAGTGCAGTTCTGACTCATAGTATGGTACGTGTGAGTTAACATTCAACGTGGCATCAGCATCATGTCAGCCATTTAGCGACAACATGGGAAAAGGTTAATAGCGGACTATGAAACAAATGCAATACTATAAATTCTGTATTACTTGTGTATTTACAGAGTACTGACATTATTTACAAAAGGATGTTCACGATCCAGTACAACCAAGCCATCAACACCGGCCTTGACCAAATAGTCATTGTAACATGCACGTTCAGCAAGGACAACCTCCTGGTCAGCACGGATGCAGTGATCTCAAACCCGAATGTGTAAGCTACGTTCATCTAAAAATTCTTTATCAATGCATATTTCAAGGCAGTGATCCTTGTTAATAGGTAAGTTTATCTCGCAAGTCACACACATGCACACACCACATGACGTCTTTAAGTATAAATCCCTAGGTAAGCCCTATGAGTGTTCCTGGTTTGAATTTTAGCCAGTCAACATCATTATGCAATATCTGACCGAATGGAACGATGGTCAGACTGTGTGACTGTATCACGGCCCATTGGAACCATGATCAGACTGTGTCTATATATATCACGGCCCAGTGGAACCATGGTCAGACTTTGTGACTATATCACGGCCCAGTGGAACCATGATCAGACTGTGTCTATATATATCACGACCCAGTGGAACCATGATCAGACTGTGACTATATATATCACGGCCAAGTGGAACCATGATCAGACTGTGACTATATCGTGGCCCAGTGGAACCATGATCAGACTGTGTCTATATCGTGGCCCAGTGGAACCATGATCAGACTGTGACTACATATATCACGGCCCAGTGGAACGATGGTCAGACTGTGTCTATATCGTGGCCCAGTGGAACCATGATCAGACTGTGACGATGTATATCACGGCCCAGTGGAACGATGATCAGACTGTGTGACTATATCACGGCCCAGTGGAACCATGATCAGACTGTGTCTATATATATCACGGCCCAGTGGAACGATGATCAGACTGTGTGACTATATATATCACGGCCCAGTGGAACAATGATCAGACTGTGTCTATATCACGGCCCAGTGGAACCATGATCAGACTATGTGACTATATCACGGCCCAGTGGAACCATGATCAGACTGTGTGACTATATATATCACGGCCCAGTGGAACGATGATCAGACTGTGTCTATATCACGGCCCAGTGGAACCATGATCAGACTGTGTCTATGTATATCACGGCCCAGTGGAACGATGGTCAGACTGTGTCTATATCGTGGCCCAGTGGAACCATGATCAGACTGTGACTATGTATATCACGGCCCAGTGGAACCATGGTCAGACTGTGTGTCTATATCACGGCCCAGTGGAACCATGATCAGACTGTGTCTATATATATCACGGCCCAGTGGAACCATGATCAGACTGTGTGACTATATATATCACGGCCCAGTGGAACCATGATCAGACTGTGTCTATATATATCACGGCCCAGTGGAACCATAGTCAGACTGTGTGACTATATCACGGCCCAGTGGAACCATGATCAGACTGTGACTATATTTATCACGGCCCAGTGGAACGATGATCAGACTGTGTCTATATATATCACGGCCCAGTGGAACCATGATCAGACTGTGTCTATATATATCACGGCCCAGTGGAACCATGATCAGACTGTGTCTATATATATCACGGCCCAGTGGAACCATGATCAGACTGTGTCTATATATATCACGGCCCAGTGGAACGATGATCAGACTGTGTGACTATATATATCACGGCCCAGTGGAACCATGATCAGACAGTGTCTATATATATCACGGCCCAGTGGAACCATGATCAGACTGTGTGACTATATATATCACGGCCCAGTGGAACCATGATCAGACTGTGTCTATATATATCACGGCCCAGTGGAACGATGGTCAGACTGTGTGACTATATCACGGCCCAGTGGAACCATGATCAGACTGTGACTATATTTATCACGGCCCAGTGGAACCATGATCAGACTGTGTGACTATATCACGGCCCAGTGGAACCATGATCAGACTGTGTCTATATATCACGGCCCAGTGGAACCATGATCAGACTGTGTGACTATATATATCACGGCCCAGTGGAACCATGATCAGACTGTGTCTATATATATCACGGCCCAGTGGAACGATGGTCAGACTGTGTGACTATATCACGGCCCAGTGGAACCATGATCAGACTGTGTCTATATATATCACGGCCCATTGGAACGATGATCAGACTGTGTGACTATATCACGGCCCAGTGGAACCATGATCAGACTGTGACTATATCACGGCCCAGTGGAACCATGATCAGACTGTGTGACTATATATATCACGGCCCAGTGGAACCATGATCAGACTGTGTCTATATATATCACGGCCCAGTGGAACCATGATCAGACTGTGTCTATATCACGGCCCAGTGGAACCATGATGAGACTGTGACTATATATATCACGGCCCAGTGGAACGATGATCAGACTGTGACTATATCACGGCCCAGTGGAACCATGATCAGACTGTGTGACTATATATATCACGGCCCAGTGGAACCATGATCAGACTGTGTCTATATATATCACGGCCCAGTGGAACCATGATCAGACTGTGTGACTATATCACGGCCCAGTGGAACCATGATCAGACTGTGTCTATATATATCACGGCCCAGTGGAACCATGATCAGACTGTGTCTATATATATCACGGCCCAGTGGAACCATGATCAGACTGTGTCTATATATATCACGGCCCAGTGGAACCATGATCAGACTGTGTCTATATATATCACGGCCCAGTGGAACCATGATCAGACTGTGACTATGTAAATCACGGCCCAGTGGAACCATGATCAGACTGTGTCTATATCGTGGCCCAGTGGAACCATGATCAGACTGTGACTATGTATATCACGGTCCAGTGGAACGATGGTCAGGCTGTGACTATGTATATCACGGTCCAGTGGAACGATGGTCAGGCTGTGACTATGTATATCACGGCCCAGTGGAACGATGGTCAGGCTGTGTGACTCTATATATCGTGGTCCAGTGGAACCATGATCAGAATGTGGTTATATCACGGCCCAGTGGAACGATGGTCAAACTGTGTGACGATATATATCACAGCCCAGTGGAACGATGGTCAGACTGTGTGACGATATATATCACGGCCCAGTGGAACGATGGTCAGACTGTGTGACGATATATATCACGGCCCAGTGGAACGATGGTCAGACTGTGTGACTACATATATCACGGCCCAGTGGAACGATGGTCAGACTGTGTGACGATATATATCACGGCCCAGTGGAACGATGGTCAGACTGTGTGATGATATATATCACGGCCCAGTGGAACGATGGTCAGACTGTGTGACGATATATATCACGGCCCAGTGGAACGATGGTCAGACTGTGTGACGATATATATCACGGCCCAGTGGAACGATGGTCAGACTGTGTGACTATATATATCACGGCCCAGTGGAACGATGGTCAGACTGTATGACGATATATATCACGGCCCAGTGGAACGATGGTCAGACTGTGTGACGATATATATCACGGCCCAGTGGAACGATGGTCAGACTGTGTGACGATATATATCACGGCCCAGTGGAACGATGGTCAGACTGTGTGACGATATATATCACGGCCCAGTATTCACCAACGAAACGGCGACCAATACTTTCTCCCCGGTTTCCTTGGCTGCCGACATTGATGGGTCACCACTGTCATCGTCGTCCTCGGTCCGTCTGTCCAAGAAGGTCTGTGTCACACTGGATGTTCCACAAGGTACAGCTGCTCTCATTATACATACACAATTACTGATAGTACGTTAGAGTATCGCGAGTGAGCTTCACGTTGGTATACAGTTTCGCAAACAGTGGACGACATGTACGGTTAACAACTCTCTGTAAACCTTGAACTCTGGGTGCGGTGTGGTAGCCCTAGTGGTTAAAGCGTTCGTTTGTCACACCGAGGACCCGAGTTCGATTCCCCACATATTACAATGTGTGAAGCCTATTTCTGAAATTGTGTCCCGCTGTGATTTTTACTGGAATATTGCTAAAGCGGTGTAAAACAACTCTCTCACTACCAAAACTCACTTGAACTCTGACAACCTCTGGTCATATATATGTATGTACATGCGGAGAGGAGCTTTAAAATACCTTAAATCACGGCCCAGTGGAACCATGATCAGACTGTGTCTATATCGTGGCCCAGTGGAACCATGATCAGACTGTGACTATGTATATCACGGTCCAGTGGAACGATGGCTGTGACTATGTATATCACGGTCCAGTGGAACGATGGTCAGGACTGTGTGACTATATATATCACGGCCCAGTGGAACGATGGTCAGACTGTGTGACGATATATATCACGGTCCAGTGGAACGATGGTCAGACTGTGTGACGATATATATCACGGCCCAGTGGAACGATGGTCAGACTGTGTGCGATGGTCAGACTGTGTGACTACATATATCACGGTCCAGTGGAACGATGGTCAGACTGTGTGACTACATATATCACGGCCCAGTGGAACGATGGTCAGACTGTGTGACGATATATATCACGGCCCATGGTCAGACTGTGTGACGATATATATCACGGCCCAGTGGAACGATGGTCAGACTGTGTGACGATATATATCACGGTCCAGTGGAACGATGTCAGACTGTGTGACGATATGTATGGTCCAGTGGAACGTGGGTCAGACGATATATATCACGGCCCAGTGGAACGATGGTCAGACTGTGTGACGATATATATCACGGCCCAGTGGAACGATGGTCAGACTGTGTGACGATATATATCACGGCCCAGTGGAACGATGGTCAGACTGTGTGACGATATATATCACGGCCCAGTGGAACGATGGTCAGACTGTGTGACTACATATATCACGGCCCAGTGGAACGATGGTCAGACTGTGTATGACGATATATATCACGGCCCAGTGGAACGATGGTCAGACTGTGTGACGATATATATCACGGCCCAGTGGAACGATGGTCAGACTGTGTGACGATATATATCACGGCCCAGTGGAACGATGGTCAGACTGTGTGACGATATATATCACGGCCCAGTGGAACGATGGTCAGACTGTGTGACGATATATATCACGGCCCAGTGGAACGATGGTCAGACTGTATGACGATATATATCACGGCCCAGTGGAACGATGGTCAGACTGTGTGACGATATATATCACGGCCCAGTGGAACGATGGTCAGACTGTGTGACGATATATATCACGGCCCAGTGGAACGATGGTCAGACTGTGTGACGATATATATCACGGCCCAGTGGAACGATGTTAATGTTATCCGTTACTTTATTGACTGGTTCAGATTTGATTATTTATTTCATTGAGTCTGAATTATGTACCTCGTAAACAACACATAAACAACACAACTCTATGTGTATTCTCAACGTGTCTTTGCTATCTATTATTTATTGAGTAAACCGTCGACAATGTTCACACAGAGGCCCATTCACCAACGAAACGGCGACCAATACTTTCTCCCCGGTTTCCTTGGCTGCCGACATTGATGGGTCACCACTGTCATCGTCGTCCTCGGTCCGTCTGTCCAAGAAGGTCTGTGTCACACTGGATGTTCCACAAGGTACAGCTGCTCTCCTTATACATACACAATTACTGATAGTACGTTAGAGTATCGCGAGTGAGCTTCACGTTGGTATACAGTTTCGCAAACAGTGGACGACATGTACGGTTAACAACTCTCTGTAAACCTTGAACTCTGGGTGCGGTGTGGTAGCCTAGTGGTTAAAGCGTTCGTTTGGCACACCGAGGACCCGAGTTCGATTCCCCACATATTACAATGTGTGAAGCCTATTTCTGGTGTCCCCGCTGTGATTTTACTGGAATATTGCTAAAGCGGTGTAAAACAACTCTCTCACTAAAACTCACTTGAACTCTGACAACCTCTGGTCATATATAATGTACATGCGGAGAGGAGTTTAAAATACCTGAGTATGAATATATTCTGTAAAATGTAAGCTCTTGATATTTAAACAGTTTAGATATGATGTAAATGTGATCTATGCATATATACCGATATGTTGCATAACACCGTACCTGATCTACTGACTATTACATTGTTTCAGAGTTTGGCGGCTTGGAGATTCTGGGCATAACGTTCAACAACTCGCTCCATGATTCGCCTGTATCATGGCCGGTGTACACGAGGGGGGTGTGTATACAATTATTCAATCACTTCTGAAGAATATTGAGTTCAATGACAAAATTTACGTTTGGCACTCATGATAACAATCTCTTTTGCCAGACCGTGTCCAATTTTACAAATTTGCTCAGCGTCAGTTGGGTATAGCGCCGCTTTTAGGAATATTCCAACAATATCAGGACGGGGAACACCGGACATGGACTTTACACTTTGTAGCAATTCGGGGAATCGAACTCGGGTCTTCGTTGCAACGAGCGAACGCGTTAACCGCTATACCTAGTACCCCACTGCCCATAGGAAGCTGGAAGCATGGGTGCATATTCCGAGTTCTTTGTGGTGCCTGTACATGCCCTGTACATCAAGACGATATACACTTAAGGAAAGGACGCATCGGTTAAAAGCCAAATGAAAGTTGAGAATTTCAGAAACAGTTTGTGGTGCCTGTACATGCCCTGTACATCAAGACGATATACACTTAAGGAAAGGACGCATCGGTTAAAAGCCAAATGAAAGTTGAGAATTTCAGAAACAGTTTAATTTCTTTGAAACATTTGTCCGATGGGAAAACTATATATAAATCTCCAAGAGAACCAGCCTCGAAAAAACATATTCAGGATAGTTAACTGTCAGCCATTCAGTTGTATATAAAATTGGTAATTAATTATTACAGTTGCCAAGACCCTGACGCCGTCGCTGTGTTAGTCAATGTACCCTTCTACCCACAAGCCAACAAACGCTCTATCAGGTTCTGCTTCTCGGCCTTCACGTTTGTCAACAGTTCCCGTCTGACCATGGAAGTGAACCTGCGTGTGTGTGTCAACGCTGGAGACTGTGACGTGGTAAAATACTAGTAATAATTTTAAAAAAACACATGGTCTAGCATTATCCTTGTTCACCTGTTGTTCATGGTTGACCAATATGAAATGTGCTAATTTATATAACTTTCTGTTTTGTGCTCAGCGGGAGTGCATCCCTTTTCGACGCAAACGTCAGGCATCTAACGAGGAGACGACCGTTGAGCAAACGTTCAATATCTATATCCCTGAAACCAGCGACCCCAACAGTGAGACAAATGGACCAAGTAAGTGAAGACTATTACTATATATAGAAACATCTACGCATATCTTTATCAATAACGTGTACACTTTACGCTTTTCAAATATTGACGTATTTTTGTCCACGATGCTCGGAAAGCAAACTTCACTAAAAGAAATTGTGATAATATCCATGTATTGATAACTTGACAGTGGCTGAAGAGATCGATATACATTCCACCTGGTTACACAACTAACTACTTTCCAAGTCAAACCCGGCAAGATTGGTGTCGCTTTAATGCGTTTTGGAATCACAAAACAGTCACATAGTGAGCTTCCGAATTAAGAGTGAATTATGTATATTTCTGTGAATGTATTTTACTGAACATGCTGTGTTTTCCAGGAACATCGGTGTCCCGAGTCAGTGACGGCAGTTCATGTAGGTTGCCGTTTGAATTCCTGCCGACCGTTCTTTGTCTTGGAGGCATTGTGGCGGCTCTCATGGCGCTGTGTGTGTTCCTCACATTAAGGCTTCTACGCAGAACAAAGGCTTCATGAGATTCTGCTACAGAAAAAACTGCCAGCACCAATCCGTAACGAGCATGTACGAGACAGAGCAACAATTAATTATATTCTACAGAAACTGCAGCTTGCATTCTCAATTAAAATAATAGTGTCAATGTAGTTTCAATGTGTTTTTTCTACACGTTCCAACTTTGACATGTTTGATGACTAAGACAATTACAAGACGTAAAATTGTATAATTTTAACACTACAAGGCGACAGAGCAACAAATATCGATCATTCGTCTAAACAGATTCTGTTGAGCGTAAATGGTATTCATTTAATGGCAGAGGAAATGCATCACACTTTTCATTTGCCATCTAATTATTGATGCTGTATTATGTATATCACTGTGTTCTTTTTTCTTTCGGGGTGGGTCATTTAATGGCAGACGAAATGCATCACACTTTTCAATTTGAATCTTATTATTGATGCTGTATTTTGTATATCACTGTGGGTTTTTTTCTTTCGGGGTGGGTGTTGGGGTGGCGGTATGGTAACATAGTGACTATTACGTAGGCTCGTCACGCCGATGACCCGGATCGATCCCCTACTTAGGTCAAGTGTGTAAAGCCGATTTCAGGTGTGATGTTGCTGGAATAATGCTAAATCGGCTTAAAAGTTTTCCGAATCACTTGCTGTGTTGAGAAGGAGCCCGAGCATTTTCTTCTGAAAGTTTGCTCCCATAATATTACACAATGACGATCAGATCCAAAGACCATGAGAGAACTGTCCCGGCATTGGACATTTATATATACATCGAGGTCATTTATATATACATCGAGACCGCCTCCGTGGTGTAGTGGTTAGAGCGTCCGCCCGGAGAGCGGAAGGTCGCAGGTTCGATCCCCGACCGCGTCATACCAAAAGACGTTAAAATGTGGTCCTTGTTGGTCCCTGCCTGGCGTTCGGCATTAATGGGTACGACAAGGACTGGTCGGCTAGGAGTCAGTATAATGTGCCTGAGTGGGGTATTCCTGCTTCACTGCGGCATGGTATCTCAGTGGGCTAGCACTATAAAACCAGCTTCAGTCTGGGCTAGTACAAGCAGCCGCACATACCCATACAAACGTATGCACGTCGTCATATGAGCGTAATATTCTCAAGCACGACGTTAAACCCAATTTCACCTCACCTCACCTCACCTCATCTAGTGGATGAGGCCTGACCATAATCATTTTCTGATAATGACAGTTACGCACTGCTCGATTGTCCCATATGTACTGTGCTATCTGTATGCTAAGAAGTTCACATTTCCTTTGTGAATTATCTGTTACTGTCCTTAGTCGGGTCATGTAAGTGCAGAATGTCTACCGCCATATGGCTAGAATATTGCTGAGAGCGGCGTTAAACAACAAACAAAAAAGCAGAATGTCTATCAATATGTGAAATAATTATATGTGAAACAGAGTCTCTAGTTGTAAGCATAGTTGGAAAGATGTGTTGTTACATCTTATTATCATTTCCGGGCCACCATAAAGCTTTCAAAATATATTATCAGTGTATGAAATTAGCCAAAAACCCAGCCAGACATCTGGGCTGGTAACTTAAAAAACTTACAGCCCAGAAGAGATTTAATCAGACCTTCTTAAATCCTGAATAGACAGTACCAGTTGACACGTTATTATCTGAATATTATTTTCACCCGTCCATCGGGCTGGTAGCTGTAAAATTAGACCGTCCGGCAGAAATCAAGCCCGTCTCAGGCGTTCGGACGGGCCTTATTTCATACACTGGTTTTATGTTCGACACGGGGTGTTTCGGATGTTTTCAGGTGAATAATTGAACCCACAGTCTCAGAGTCAGGCACCTGATTGCCAGCACACAAACCCGCTCAGCTACCGCGGCTTCAACAAATATGGAAATCGTACAACAAGTAGTCCGACTTCCATTTTTGTGAAAGCCGCGGTGGCTGAGCGGGTTTGTGTGCCGGCGATCGTGCCATCACAATTTGATAGTGATGGATAAACGTTTCCTTATTATACATTCGGAAGGCGTTTCAACTGTTTCCGTTCTGATGAGGTACATTCCCTTGGTTTCGTTCATGATGAGGCTACACAGGTCAATTATGTGTCATAAACTACAGCGAGAAAGGTGACAGTGACCATAGTCTTACTGCCATACATATTTCGACAAATGGGGGCTATTCCTCAGCATTTTTATCCTTTTAAGCATACTGAATAAGCATAGTTTTAGCATACTTTCAATGCAACTTGATAACTTTACCGCTTCGGGAAATGAATCAAATAGTTCTTGTAAATGTGGCAAAAGGGTGAAGGGGCTATTTTTATAAGATTACGTTAAAATATGGCAGATAGGACTAATAATTAAAGTTGAAATTTCGTTTTACAGACTTCTGACCACATTTCGATCACAAGAACAGCTGTGAAGTACATTTTCTTTGGTTTATAATTTCTTGGAAGACAAATGTGTGCGTTATTCCTGAATTAGGCTTTATATAGCGTGACCGTTAATCAGGCACAATATATCAGTTCAGTGCTTGCTGTTGCAATCTGAGGGCGTATACGTCTTCTGGCATTTCCAAAATGGTGACATGTGATATAGACATCACACACACATACACACACTAACGCACGCGCGCACGCATGCACATACACATTCCAGCATATATCCGTGCATTCTTGATAAACTGTTTCCGTCTTTATCGGCGATTTTTACATTCCATGTTACATTGGCAGTGCCGAGCTAGAACATGGCAGACACTTGCTTACTCAAACACCCCACAGGAAACCTTTAAACTAACACTAAGTTCTTCCCAAGGGGAACAGATCACCTAATATACTAGTATACTTGTAGTAAAGGGGGACAAACTGCACCCGTTGATCAGGTACGGTTAATTAGCTGATTGCTTGTTATTGCAACACGCAGTCAACTAATTAACTGTGCCTGATTAATGGACTTAGAAACTAGTTTGTTATTGTTATGTTTTCTTGAAAAATAATCCAGTGAGCGAGAGTTGTAACCGTTACCAGAATGAATAATGGGGAAAAAACCACAGCGACGCAGAACAGTCGGTAAGTGTTGAATGTGGCCAAAGCAAGCTGTTACTCTAATTGTCAAAGGTCAGCCAGATAAACACACTTAACTGTTGTCGTGTACGCAGCCATTATCTGCTTTTCAACCTAAATTTATGTTCTTATATTGAAATAGTCCATGTGGCATTTGCTCACCGTCCCCTTATAAAAAAAAATACTTAGCATTTTACATGTGAACAGCATGATATTTGACAATGTGATCAAGGAAACACTGTGCTTGTGTACTGTGAAGCTGCATATACTGTACTACTGAGATAAAGTCTATAAACATAATTCTGGGTATAAAAACGTGAAAAAAAATAATAAATACCGAGCATAATGTCCAGGAGACGGTATTACCATTTGTGATACCTCTTTCACATAACACATGACAGTATAACACGTCTATGCTAATGAAGAACGAGTCACAGTTATTCTATTCAATTGAGCTAAAAGGCAAATTAGTTCCAAATAAATAATTGCGTCTTTACTGGGAGGAGAGGGGAGGGACGAACGAGGCGGACAGACTTATTCTATTTCTTAACTTGCATGCTTGTAGTTAATAATGAACGTATCACAACTCACGGGATTATGACCTACATCTTTATTGCCGTCACACAGAAGGAAATCTGGAACATTACGAATTCATTATTTTGCTTATGTGAAAAGAGGCTTCAAGCATTAACCAAAAGTTGATTCAATCAGGCATACAAAGCTATAAGCGAGGCTTCAAGCATTAACCAAAAATTGGTTCAATCAGGCATACAAAGCTATAAGCGAGGCTTCAAGCATTAACCAAACGTTGATTCAATCAGGCATACAAAGCTATAAGCGAAACATTTACGGTAGAATCACGGACACGTGCACATATTTCCACGCAATTATTTATGTGTAATGTGCAGAAATATTCGAAGTCACATGTGTTTAATTATTTATTATTTTTGAATGTTACCTGGTAAACAGATTCAAACATTATTATCAACATGGGATAAAAAAATACCATTTAATTCACATAGTTCAATCCGTCTGAAAGAGATAAGCACGACCGAGAATAGCATACTAGATAACATGTCAAGGACGTGAACCACAGTACAAAATTATCTAGATGTTAAAAACTGGAACCTGCCAATCACTTTGTAAAACAGGATCCTCGATAATATCTTGAACTTCCACTGCACTACCAACGGTCCAATTTTAATCTTTTTTCGTATGTGTTCCATTATCAGAATATTTATAATGCATACACACTTTGGAGACAATTGAAACCCATGTATGTGTCACCTTCAGATTGTTTCCTTGCCAGAACTAATGTCGTAACTATCACGCAAAACACTGATGAGTCTTCACAGTAGATAAGCATAACATAGCTGGAATTACTTCATGTATGATCGATCTTTGCACTTAACAATACACGGAGCCGTATTGTTAACACTCAGCACTGATTTACCTTTCTGGGAGATGCATTGTCATATACATGTATGTAAGAAAGAGCATTAAAGATTCATTTTCC